TATCCCATAGTTGAGGATGAAGTGTAGGCATTTGCTTGAGCAGGCTCCCCGACCCATCCAGTACCCCGACCCTGCCAGGGGGTGGCACTGCTCACATTGGGAAACACTGACCGACAGCCTCTGACACCCAGAGGGTCAGGTCTACTCTGTTCATAGGTGGCTGTGAGTTAGAATAAACCCCATGGCAGTGAGTTTGTTTTTGTTTGTTTGTTTTTGATTGAGGCCCCAAGGATGGAGCTTGTCTATATATCTTCCAGGTAGGTATCTGAAGACAGCCCGGTCCAAGGCTAAGGCTGGGGTTCTGGGAAAACCAATGATCCAATTCAAGTCCTTCTGAGGCAGATCAGAGACCTTTAGGAGTAGCTCTGGGGTTGAACTTGAACTCGGCTGGTTGCTGACTACCCGGACTTAGATAACCAGACCCTCTCCTCCTCTGGGCAAGAAGATGATGCTACATACCTGGTTGGTTATTGACCCAGGTAGTATTTGACCAAAAACCAAACTCACTGCCATCAAAGCAGTGCCATCTCATAGCAACCCTACAGGACAGATTAGAGCTCCCCCGGTGGGTTTCTGAGACTGTAGTAGCTCTCTAAGGCAGCAGAAAGCCCTCTCTTTCTCCTGAGAAGTGGCTGGTGGTTTCAAACTGCGGACCTTGCAGTTAGTAGCCCAACTCATACCCACTGTGCCCCCAGAGCTCCTTTGGCTAATAGCCAGTATATAAGGGGGCTTCAAGAAGTGGGTGGAAAGAAATCATTATCATTCAATGCCATCTTCCCACTAACTTTTTGAAGCCCCCGGTATACATATACATAAAAAGCTCCCTCGGCGATTGCCTGTCGTATAATAGGAACTCAAAGATGATAGTTGCTATTTTGACCTGCCAGGCATAGTATCCAGGCCAACTAATAAATATTTTTAAGGAAAAAGCCTGGACGATCTGATGATGAACGATCTAAACTACTCCTTCCAAATCTCTGAATATTGTGGAGTCACTTGAAAGAATTGATGGAAGGTCATCAGTAATACTTTCCCCAAATTGGATGAGAGAAGTTTGGGGATATTTCCAAGTGATTTCATCCATGGACCAGATGCTAGAGATCACTTCAGATAGCGCCTTGAAGCAAAGGCCACTAATTTTAGGGGCTTATTAATCTAATAATTTTTCTACGTTTATTCATGAGTTGAGATTCTTTTTGTTTCTAAATACCAAAGCAAAACAACCAAGGCAAATGGTCTTTGACACCACCAAGTA